AAAAATTCCGGTTTATATTTGAATTGACCCTCGTAAAATTACCAACATTTTCAGGCAGGAGTTATTTTTGGTGATGAATAACGTGGTATTCATGAATTTCACAGAAAGCAGTGGGGGTCTTATAATTTTGCCCACCGGTGTATAATACCTTAATATTTTTGATACACTAATAACGTAAAAGCGCACCTCTTTCGCTAGCACTCCGTAACCGATCGCTTATAGGGCTGGAATTTCATAAGCTTTTATCGGGATAAAAAGGTTCGCCCGTAACGCGTTAAAACGTAAACAAGTTGGGGTACTATGTGACTTCCTCAGACCCTGTAAACCGCGAATGCAGTTTCCCATGTTTCGTAATTTTCACTCGGGAAAAAATAACCTACATAATCCATGCCACGGAACCTTGCGTTATCTCGCCGGTGCCGGCGAAATCGTTTCACGAGAATGTGCCCTGGAGACGGACACACGTGGAGCGAAAAGAAACGCACTCGCCCTAGATGGGCGTCGCGGATGCAGAGCCCGCGTAATGGCTCGTTTGCGCGTAATCCGTGAGAATCGTTGCGAAACTCTTGTCGCGAATCGCCGACGCGTGGTGTTGTGCGACGCCGCGCGACGTCTGCGCGCCGACGTAACGGCGCGTGGCATTGTGTTCCTCCCAAGCTTTCCGCGTCAACCGGCGAAAACGCTCGCGACCATTAACCACTTTACCGCCTACTTTTTTTCCACAATCGCTCCAAGAAACGTAACAGTTTCTTTTTTTACTTCGTTTTCTAAATACTTGAAGTCTGTTAAAAAACGAAAAAATGGTACGTAAATGTTTCTGCTCTGAATGTGCGATTCCATGAATTTGATGCGCGGACAAATTAACTCTTTACAGCTCGGTGGCTATTGGCTCGGATGGGTTAGAGTGACGAATTAAACATATACCCTTTCGCTACGTATGTGTACAGTGTGTTGAACAAGAACTTGGACGCGATATTTCTGAAAAAAGAAACTAAGTTTTTTGTAAAAATTTTTATACACGGCATGAGTATGTGTAGAAAACGAATATGCAGTTGTTTGGTAATGAGTCCAATCTGTCCCATTAGCGATTATAGCTTAACAACGTGTGATCATGCTTTCCGAAAACTTTTTCCTCTATGGCGCAAGTAGAGACCATATTTTTCGAATTCGTCGAATTAATGCTTTCAGTGTTAAAATTTGTTGCTCTCGAAATTTACATATCATTATTGATCGAACATTTTCGATTGGATTTGCGTTTGGAGACTGGAATGGCCAGTTTAACACATTCATCCCATTTATGGGTTTCCACTTGCTACGAAGACCAGTTTCGATGCTTCAGATCGTTGTCCTCTTGAAGAATCCATTAATTATTTTTATTTTTAAAGCAATGTTTCACCGATGCTAGGAGGACCCAATTATGCAATTTAATCATTTCTGTTTGGATCGAAAGTGTCTATAAATATGCATAAAACGTCGAAATCACGAGCATTAAAAGAGTTTCAAACACTCACTTTCTATGGATATTTAACACTTCGTTGAATAACAGAATTTTCGTCAGTTGTAAAGTTCGTTTGATAAAGCTCCATACCCAAAAATATGACTCTTTGCTAAATACAACATTATTCCACTTTCGAACCCTTTGAATAACATCATAAGAAAACGTCTTCAATCCATTTAGCGTATGCTACATTTATCTCGAGATGGACTGTATTCCTCAGTGACACAATTCAAACTAAATATCTTTAGGCCAACGCGTAGGAGAGTACTAGTGTTGATATTAACCCTTTGCACTCGAGACCTTTTTTTTGGTATCTGTCAGCAACTCGAGATGCTTTCTTAGCATTCTATTGTCACGAATGCTAAGCTTAGATTGACTTCGAAAATAAGATCTCTAATTTGAAATTTGAAAATCAGGTCACCTTTGCCTCAATGACAATCATTTGATTTCCACTTCGTGTTCCAAAGAAATGAAACCGAAAGGAAACCTAGTGGTGACTGAGAGTCACCTCTCGAGTGCAAAGGGTTAACACAATTTTTCCCTTCATTGAATACCAAATGTCAGATATATTGTAACCTCCGGGATACGTTAACAAATCCTATTAATCTGTTCGTTTGAATAATAGTTGTATATTTTTATAAAAATTCTACACACATAAATTTACAAGTCTTCCGCATAATCGTGATCGTAATCGTAATCTGACTAATCGTAACTAAACAACTCTCTTCCTTTCTCGAAACTTCGAATTAGTCAATTGCACCTTACAATATTGAATCCACGTTTTTATTGAACAGACTGTATACCTGAAAAATGGTAATGATCTTGAAGAAACTCGAAATAAGTGAGGTTAGAAAAATAGTTGTTTTTCTCAAATATTCCAAAATGATTGAAGTCAGCCATAAACAATTGTCGTACCATAAAAAACAAGGGAGATATTCAGATAGCCTCCTTCAACTGGAACACCTTGGATATTTGTAAAAGGAAGGAACCATATCTTTGGTAATAAAGGCAGTAAAACAGGACGATTTCATCATTGATTGAAACTACATAAAACTGATTGCATAAAACTCTTACACATTTACCTTTGAACTTTTCGCGTCTCGAAGAAGGCCAGTAATCGATATAGTTAACCCATTGACTGCCAGCTACGAGATATCTCATAGTATGCATACAATGTATCAAGTATGTACAAATTTAGATTGATTGCAATTAATCACAGAATAAGTTTAAAGCCGTTTGAGATAGAAATTATTCGAGAGGATGAACAAAAATTTTATGTAGTAATATCTATTCCGCGTCTTTCTAAAGTATTTTTGCCATTTATGGACATCGTACAAATTTCAATCTTTTCTCAGTCACATATTCCGAAAGACCACGTATAGTTGTAAAAGCGAAATGTCGAAGCAATCCCTGTGTTCCATTACTACGAAAATTGGTAGTTGGTACTTTAAAGCAACAAGATAGCGAATAAATAGTTTTACGCGAATTATTGTGCAATCATACATGATCGAACGTAAAGGCATATAATTAATCCCTACTCTTAATAATTGTTAAGTTCATTTATTACCTGTTAGAAGAATGGTAATAAACGATGATGGATACTAAATTTCATATGTTCTAATGGCCGTCAAATTGAGACTTGAATTACAAATCCATTGTAATGGAGATTAATTTGAGCACTAACAGAATGAAAACTAATAGTTTTCACTTAAGCTAGAGTGATAAGTGCATAAATGTAAAAGCATACAATTAGTTTCAATTCCTGATATTACTTTTTATTATCAAGATATTAACTTAGATTACACATCCGTATTAAATATTGGCGCCCAGGGTAAAACGCTGAAAACAATTCAAGCTCGAAAAAAGATCAAAATAATTACAAACTCTTTATTAAATAGTTTAATCATACAAATGAATGTGGTGAAATCTGGAGTTCGAACAGCTAGGAATTCTTTTTTTCAAAAGATAGATTTATTCATTTCTCAACATTCATTGTACACTTGATTGTATAACAAATGAACAGTGCATAACAAACCTATTTAAGCTTGCTTCGGCGACGTAACCCCTTACGCTAACTTCGCGCCGCGTTTGTTTCCATCGTGCATAGCTAAGTTCGCGCTGTAACCGCAACGTAAAAGGGCACTCGCGTTCTTTTTCTCTCGCCTTGATATCAATGTGTCCTCGGTTTTGTAACGTTGCACGTTTGTTCAGCCGCTTTTTCCTAGATTTTATCGTACAGCGAGCGGAAATTGAACAATAGGCGTCGCTTTTTGTCGGTAAACTGCAACCAATACGGTTATCCAATAGCTAATCTAACGAAGGACGTCGAGATTCTGAACGGTATGAAACATGAAAAATTGTTGCGGTCCGCTCTGGGGCGGTCCAATTGGGCCCCTTCTTTCTTGTAAGGTAACATTGCGTATTATTAGACGCTGATTTTAACGAAATCGTGCATAAATATCCGTTGGTCCAACCTGAAAACTATGCCGTGTTTTGTTACTACTATTGCATTTTAATAGAAAAACCATTCTTTATTCCAGAGTCACTCACTTATTTATACTTGTGTATCTCTTGAATTATGGATAATATTAACAGATTGTATATTTCATTTTAACCAAAAATTGTATCGATTTCGCTTTACGATACTTTTCTTTTCGTAACAGGTATTTGATTTTCAGTTAGTCGACCAAATGTTTGAATACCAAGGGTTTAGAACCTTTACTTTATCATTTTAAGATGGAGCCAAGGAACTCTTCGTGTCCTTCTTCAGATCGTGCAGATTTCTTGTTTGTGTTCAATTCGACTAATTAATATAACACGTTCGAGATTATTTAGGTAATGTTAATTGACCCACTCATGATTCATGCACTCTTGGTACATAGACAACAAAATTACATTTCATTATCAATTAACAATCAAATATTAAATATGTGTTTTAAAATAATAATTGCCAAGTATACTGCATTGTTTGTCAATTTTTGAACCAGTTATTTTCTTCAATAGGATTGATCTTTTTCTAGAATACTAATTCGAATAAGAAATAGGCCTCCAGTAATAGTCTAATTAAGGAATCGTATGAGAGCAAATAAAATAGATGATTACAGTATAGCACTGGTGGACTAAAAACAGTAAGACTTCATTAAAACGAAGTTTCGTCGAATTAGCATTTTACAATACGCACTGTTGTCTTGTTATAATCGTCTTTGGCCGATCAGACCTATCGAACTCTGATACGTCCCTACCACTGATCTTTCGACTCTTATTTAAACGAAAGAAAGTGTATAATAGTCTACCGAACGACCTTTTTCGCAAGTAAATTATAAAGTATTAACAACAGCTAATGCAGGTACATTTTATTGGTAATGAAAAGATCGATAAAAATTAAACAAATATAATATTATATCCTATCATATATAAATAAATAAATATATATATATATATATATGTACGTATATATAAATTTTATTTATAAATTAATTTATTCTTCCTTTCTCTAATTACAAAGATACATGATAAATATGCTTCGACATCGGTAGTATTAATGTTAAAAATCAATATAGATTCAACCATCACAGGCACTGCCAAACAGTAATTGATTTATCATACAAGATATACAGTCATCCTTTAACCCTTTGTGGTTGTATGTCACTCTTAACCACCAAAGATTTGTTTACCGTTCCGGTCGTATGTCTACTCTCAGCCACCACAGCAAAGAACCATACTAATCTTATATTGTATTTTGTAGATTAAAAAGATTTAAGCCATTAGACAATAGTAATAGATTCTAAGATATTAGTGTAATAATAAATTAGTAGAAAGTGATCTAAAATACGTGATAAGAATGTTAGTAATTATCAGCTATACAAGACGATATGAATCATTGGGTGAAATATGTATCTACATATTACATTTTTCAAAGACAAAAATATTGAATATTGTTACTTTTTCTGTAACAGATTCCAATAAATACCAAATAGTCGATGATACTTCGAATTGTGTTTAAATATATTTATGCATTCTCGCTTCTTAAAATATTTCAAAAACGATACTCCAAAATGGGAATCCATAAAATATAATTTTTACATAAAAACATTACATTAAAACACATTATTATGTAAACATACATCTAAAGTTCATGAAAGAATGAATAAATCTTGTTTGTCCTTCATAATCATGCATACTATGTATCACTGCTCGTTCTTCGAAAATTAATTCCGACCAGCACGACACCCATGTCTACATTTAGTACGACCGCAAAGGGTTAATTTAATCTAAAAGAGTTCTTGACTGTTCTCCTCCCTAGAAACAGCATTTCCTCTAAGTTACTCTTCGATAAATCTTGTAACACTCCTATCAATCCAAACGGGTCTATTTCTATCTCAGAAAGTACACTACAACATCATGAAAGTTACAAGAAACTAGAGCGGCCCCAAACGACGGGAAAGTGGGTCTAGTTAGCCAAAATAGTCGGAAACGACTATAACGCGCCACACGATCCAGTAGACTAGCAGCGCCAATATCAAAACGCCTTTCCCACATTTGGAACCGACTTCCAGCTCCAATCCGGAGCAATTTCGATCACAGTCGAGCGAACGTTTCGCCATTCCTCGGCGATTCGCGAAGCCTTGAAACGCTTCGGGCCTCTCAGGTTTCTCAGAAATTCCCGCAGTCGCTGTTGACGTTCTTCAGAATGGCTCCGCCGAACACGCGCACAGGAGTTCTGGTCCACGAAATCAACATCAAAGGACCGCCGAGGAAGGGGCTTCCTCTGCCGATTTCGCAGCGGACGTATGACAATTTCACTAATTGCAGCCCGAGGGGCGGGTTTCCCAGCTTAGACCTTGCGATCCTTCTAGTCGGTGGCCGAGGATCGATTGTTTCTCGAGCGATCGCTTTGGCGATAGTTCTCGAGTGCAAGGACGCGTCGTCGACCGTATAGCGCCGAACTCGTCGACCGTAGATCGGGAAAACAGCGTAGATCGTGCGCATTCCGTAGTCGCCGTTGCGTTGCATCACTTTGGTTGGTATTCTAGCGGAAAGGGGGGCCAAGGCGCGATTGGAAACAGAGGGTAGGGGAATCACGTTCCGGAAGTGTTCTTTTTCAGAGCCCTTCGTATGGTGATCGAAGGCCGAGGCTAGGAGGAGATTGAAGCCCAAAACCGCCCCCTCGATGCCGTCCTCCAGGCCTTTGTCGAAGTCTGTGTATTCTTGGCCCACTACTATGTCGCCTCCGCTGGGTATCACGTGGCCTACCGTCTGAAAACGATCAGGGGAGGGTCAATCGAAACTTCACCGTGGGGAACAACACTGTAACAAGAATATATACAGCTAGCACAGTTCATAAAGCTATTGGAAGTTTTTTTGATTTACAAACGAATCTAAAATTCAACCGAAGGCAGCAAATGGCAATAACACGAATCAAAAGTGAACACAGCAAGTTTACTCACTCACGCCTACTCAACAGAAGCCAATCATTGAATTGTGACGAATGTAACATTCAAATCACTATTAATCATATCATCCTTGACTGCTCCAAATACAACGAAATCAGGAGGAAGTTAAACATCCATAATAGTATCAGTGAAGTCAACTATTCTTTCAAATACCAGGACACCTTAGTAGAATTCTGCAAGACTATTGAGTTCTTTAACAAAACGTAATAACCCTGTACTGTTTCTGTAAGTCTCTAATAACCCATGATGTTAATGCGACGGTAAGCTTATTAAATAAAAAAAAAATATATATATAATAAAAACACTGTAACGGTTCAAAAAAGAGACGTACACTACCATTTATTTCAATACAACACCACACCTGCAACTTTTTCAAAGAATAACAAACGTAATTAACACTACTTCTGCTCATTACTAGATTGCGGATCTTTATGCAAAATAAAATCTTCGCGAACGTGCCTAAAAAAATTTATTCTATGTAGGAATTCATTTTATTCTGCAAATAATATAACATGAACTTTACTTTCAATCTTTTCTATATTTTTGAATATTGTTTGCATTTTGTAGGTTCTTGCACATTCAAAATTCCTATGAATGCATAAAGATACACAGTCTACTCATTACAAATTTCACAAAGTTTTACAGAAACTGTTTTTACATTTGTGGTAAAGCTAGTGTTAATGGATGCCGTATATAAATGAGTCGTACTAGTATTGTAAGGGATGTCTACATTCATTCATATCAAATCAGCATAGTTGTAAAATAAACGATATCCATCACTTTTCAAATAACGAGGTTTACAACATATCACGAGCCAATAACATCCCTTGTAGGGTCCCTTTGACAGACGCGCTCGACAAGAACAAAATATAAATGAAAATCATCTGTGGAATGTACTGTAAGAGAAATGGAAGGCGGTCGAAGCTGAAACCTTAGAAAAATTGGTAACTATAGTGCCCCGAGTATGTGCTGGTAAAGGCGGATATTTTAATAAAAGCAAAAGGAGAATGCTCAAAAATGGCCATTTTTGGACCGGCCTGGAAACGAAAAATTCATGTAGGATCACCCATAGAACAAAAAACTACTGTATCATTTTTTTCCTAAAGTGATGGGAAAGTTATAAAAAATAGGGGTAAACCTATATCTTATGGTTCATCATCTTTTTTAAATATTTGAACCATCTTCGAAGTAATTAGTGAAAGAAATAGCAGGTAAATTATCTAAACACATTATCCAAACACCCTAATATTCAATCGATCCATTATCAGGATGTCTGTTATCTAAACTGCGTCACTTAGGAAGAAATGTCTCCCTAGGTATAAATTTGCAATAGACCTGGCAACTAAACGAAAACGTGTTATTTTAACTATTGGAGCACTATAAGAAGTAGTTAGAAAGCCCGAACATCGTGAAAGTGCAACAAAGTTAACAAAAATGTATGGTATCGGAAAAAATCTATAATCATAGATATTAAAAAACGAAATCATGATATTGAAAGTTATATGCAACATGTAGATTTCTCTGATAATAAGATCAGCAGAAAAAGCTTAACGAGTGCAAAAAATACAAGTGTAGACGATGTTACAGGTTTGAAGGAAAAAGAGCATGTATCTCTACTTAGTTATTCGTGTTACAAAATTTATATGATTTAGCAACGATAAAAATATGGGATCCTTAAATATTTGAAACAAATCGTCAAGTTTGTTAGTTTCGATTTGAGTGAATTAAAATAAGATATAAAAAAAGTGATTGTCTATTATCTGAAAATTTCCTCATAACGATCACTCTTGGCTCTACTGAAAATCATCTATCCAATTGTTTGAAAACCCTGTCAATGAATTTACATTAAATTTAAATTGAATTGAATTGAATTGAATTTAAATTGAATGTATCACCCAAAAACTTTTTACTTGCGTCCCTTCTCGTAAAAATCACAAATATAGTGGTGTAGTGAAATTAATGGCCGATAATATATTTTCAAACACTTTTTATAAACAATCTATACGATCAATTATTTAAAAATGTTCAGTATGTTTTATTGAACATTTAAGCAAACAAGAAACTGGTTTCATTATGCACGATAACGTTACTCTGTTCGACAGCGTGCACAAGTTTGCACTGGAAAAAAAGCAATTGTGTTCAGTTAATAACTTTGTAATCATAGCATATACTTGAAGCTAAAAAGTCAAACATTTTATTAGACTAGATACCCATGGTTATGGCTTGTCGTAGGATTTTTTTCGATATCTCAACAAATTAGAAAATGCCGAACCTTTGAAAATATTGCCAAGTTTATCAAATAAATGTTATCTATTTATTTAAAGAAGGAGCAAATCAATTTCAGTAAGTAAAATTACTTTGTTTTTAGTCCGAAAATGTTTTAAATTAGCCATAAAGATAGTTTTAAATATCAGGTTCTTTTCATAGCAGCAATAAAATTCAGGATTAAAAAAACACGTAACATATAACTTTATACTTTATGAAATAACCAAAAACACAATAAGAAATGTGATAAAAAATAAAATGATTCTCTTGCACACTTATGTTTCGTTATGTTGCATGACACATTCACGATAGCATGACTCCCTCCTGATGAGTTTCTCATTTGTTGGCATGAGTCAGTTGATCACTGATGCTCTTATCTGTCATCTATCTCACGACTGGGTCATGATATGCAATATGTTTTCACTGACAACACAGATAAACGCGATATAAAAGGGACATTTATGATTGCATTTTCTTAAATGAAAGTGTATTGCACTGATGTTATGGTATCAGGATGATTCTCGTAATCTTCGTGCAATTGTTTTCTGATAGATTGTCGAGGTTCCACCCATAAAACGGAGTTTAAACGAGACTTTATTTAGATTCATTTTGCGTATTCTTCTGCAATTAGAAGTTTTTCATAAACGAGTTGTATAACTTATAACTATGGTTAATTATTAATATAATTTTTTAAGAAAGTAATATATCGAACTAATGGAATCTTAATAATTCAACTACAATCAATTGTTTATACACGTTTTGAAAGAAAGGAGAGTAGGGTATTCTCGAATTTTACAGGGTTACTCACAGTGTATGATTTTTACTGACAGCTCAGTTTTGTACATAACTGGAAATATGATATACTTTATAGAGTATTACTAATCTTTAGTTACGTATTAGAAAAGAAACATCAAACAAATGTATATTTGCGTTTAACTCAAGTGCAAACTGTTTTATGAAACTTCATACTTAGTTTTTGTACACACGAGTACAAACTTTGGAAGCCATATTACTCCAAAGTTACGAATCAAGTTTGTTATAGTAAAACTATCGAAACAGTTAAGTTAATTGTTAATTTCTATTTATGGGTTATTGTAGTCTTGACGAAAATCCATCCCCTGTGGTGGAATACTATCGATACTATCGATTCAATAGTACTATCGAGATAATCGATAGTTTTCGATATTGTTTTGATTTCGAAAATGGCAGTTTATGGTAGCGTAATAGGGCACATGAACGAAATCAGTAAACATTACAATTAATTACAAAACGGCAATATTTAGAGGAATGTAATGCTCTACAAGATTGTGGCACATTATTATATTGTAAGGTATGTAATTGGTAAAATTAGAAAAATCTACTTTAAATGAATTAATTTAATTCTTTAAGCTAATTTTTTTGTTTAGATCAACGACAATAACGATCTGTCTACAATTTGTGAATTGTATTTAAAGTAGTTTTGTATATCTCCAGGATCTATTGAATCTGAAAGAACATTCAGTGCCACAAATAATCTTAAAAAGACAATCGAGACTAAAGAATAAGAATATTCAAATGGTAACATTGTTAAATATAATAAGAATAAGTGGCGTATTTGAAATAGTATTAGATCTAATTACTTTTATTTTTTGAACACCTCTTTTGTAAAAAGAAACTATCGATAAATCTCCATCACTAGTACGTAGGTCAAGTTGGCTTGCTTAGTAACTTTTAGCGTGAATAAGAACAAAAATCTCCGTTTGCATCCCTATTATTTTATGAAAGTGCACGAACCTCTTCCGAGTGGCCTTGAACCCGGAGCTGTCCGTTGACCCACAGAGCGTACAGACCGTCCTGATTCTCCCAGCTCTGACACACGTGGTACCAGCGATTCTCGTGAATGTCGGTCGCCGTCGCGAACACCACCTTCCCACCGATTTCCAGGTGGACGCTCCTCCCGTGCGGCGATATCCACGCCCGTACTAGACGGTCGCGCTCGTTTTCTGTCAGAAGCAATCAACGTTACTTGGACACGTTTGGAGTGTTTGGACGTTCGATCGGTCGCCTCAAAACTGGCTCATTTTACTATAAATGTCACTAACAAGTAACATCACCAGAATGCTAAAAATAGGAAGAAATTAAGGAAAAACCGAGCAAACAGCAACTTAAAGGGTTCAATAAAATATTCAAACTTCTAAAAGAAATAGGTTTTGTAGACATTATAACAAATTTTTCAAAAGGCAAGTCGAAGCGTGCAATTAATATTGAAATTTCTGAGAGGAATAGGAATCATAAACATTCTAATGAATTTTTCAAAAACCACTTCAAAACGTGTAATTAATATTCACATTTCTGAGAGGAATAGGAATTATAAAGCAACTGAAACAGCAATTCAAAGTATGCAATAAAATATTAAAATTTCTAAAAGAAGTAAGAATCATGAACACTATAAAGAATTGTTCAAAAGTAACTTTAGAAGTTTATTTTATTTTTATTATCCAACAAATGTTGACAATTTCTTAAATAATTGTTGATGATTTATTTTTTTTAACGTCAATTAACATGGTCTAACTAAAACTTTCAATTTATAGGCACTGATACTTTTCTTCTTTGCATCTCCATCACTTTTTGAAACATTTCATCGAATTAACTTTAAAAGTACAGTTCATCCCCTAAACATTAATATCAGCTCGTAAAAAATGTACAATTGCAGTTAGCGATGTTGCTTCTAAAAAGTGAATAAAAAACGCCAAGTTAGCCACGACCGACTGATTTTCCAAGCAGTGAAATTTCTTTTTTATGAGGACTTCCTGCGTCTGTTACGCAAGTTAGAACGGTGCGTGCGTTCGATGGTTCACTTATGATCGCGTTTTCCGTGACATGCCGGAACGAAAGAAACGAAAAGTAATTTTCGACGGTACTTACTCGAATAGGAGAATATGGAATGAGGGTGAGTGAGGTCGTTGGACTGTAGCCACAGGCAAAACGTAAACTCTGTCATTTCTGGCACCGGCAACTCCCATCTTAGGAACTGGGAACACACCGATTCTCGCTAATGATCCAAGACTCTACTTGTCGATTTCAGGCGCGTACGATTAATCGATGCAACGCCTTAAATGGAGTAGCCACGATTTGCGCAACCAAAATCAACTATGTTGCATTTAATTGGAATTGATAGTCTAAAGAGATTACGTCGCCTTTGCGACACATAAGAATCAAAATTTTTTTCATAAAACAGAGTGTTTTGTGGAAATAAAAACGGTTAAATATCACATGAGAAAATAAAGCTATCAAAAAAATTTTTATACAAAAGCTATTTAAATTAAATAGACAACTTATACGATGTAAATAATTTTATTGTAAGTACAATAGTGGGGGAGATTTGATAAACAAATCAACTTTTTTAAATGGGACTTCATATATTTTTATCCATATGATAGCATTTTATTAGACAAATTCGTTTAGTGATATTTCATGGTCATTTATGATAAGAATATTGGTCATTTACACCATATAATTTACCTATTTAAACGAAACAAGTTTTGTGGAAACATTTTTTAAATAGCTTCATCCCTTCATGAGATAATCAATCATTCCAATTTCAACGAAGCACCCCGTAGACAACATATCAAGAAAAATATATTTATATTTATAAAGATATTTTTTTTATAACATGTGTAAAGGAAAGATTCCTATTGGAAGAATCTTACGAAATGATCGTGTACAATACACATTGTTTAAAATGCTCTTTTCACTTTCATTCGTTCGCTAAATATACAGGAATCTTTTAAACCGCCCTCAAAACCCTTAATCAATGGCCATTACACGCCAACGAAGTCTGGTAATTCTACATTTTGCATAATTGTTGCTCGTAAAAACGCAAGAAAGTATCGAAAGTAGGTAGACGCTCATTGCCAACTTGATCGATTTCGAGGTCAGTCGACAGTCTCCAACAAAGTATGTATTGCGTTTCCTGTTTGAAAAGTGTGTGGCTGGGATTTACGATCGTAAAACAAGATTTCTGTAAACTAGATCACCGGGTGCAGTGCCGTAATCGGCACATCTGAGTCCTGACTGTTAAATTTTATGGTGGTAGAGGAAATTTAATTCTTTCTAAACCCCGTATAATCCTAAGTAGTGTTAAGTGGTAATTCTATGTTTTAAAGAGAAACAATGAATCAAATTTTGACAGCAATATTTATTCCATTGAATACAACATTGTCATATATTTCTGATGTGGTAATTATAGGGTAACTCATATACACTAATCATGGCAGAATTTTTTAGGAAAAGAATGTAGAATTACGGAGACTCTCTTTTTTCCTAAGTAAAAAAATATATTTTGTTCATTGGTATTCTTGTTGCTTAAGCTTTTTAAAGTATTTGTACCAAATTATATACAACTGGTTATATGAAGCGCTTTTTTGGAAACTCTGTTTTTCAAATATGTATGTTACTACTGTATCTCGAAAATCGTAAAAAAAAAAATTATTATTCTTTTCGGGCCACAAAAGAACATCTATGAAAAAATCGAAACCATGAGGTCAAAGTGCTGTCATTCTGTCAATTTTCTTTTAATATATTTTTCTCCAGTCAATGGAGTAGTCACACTCATAATGAATAAACCTAAACCGTTTATTATTGGTTCGTATCACCCAGACCTTGGCACTTGTGTCATAACCTTATTAAAAATATTATTTCAAATAACTCGTTATTTTATTTTATAACTATTTGAAATAATTGCTTGAAATAGTTGTGAAATTGTTCTCCAAAATGATATGAGGTAATTCATATACTTGTGATCGAGGTCACTAGACCTGAACATATTTTTATTGAAATAGAAATAATAAATAACTAGTACTTGTAAGACACGTTTTCCAAAACTTTTATGGCTTAATTCTTCTATCATCGTCTCCAGTAGAATGATTATTTTCTTTTGAAACAATACTAGGTGAATCCATATAAAATCTCTTACAGATGAACGTTTTAAAAACAAAGTTGTGCTGAAATTAAATTACTATAAAGATTTGTTAAAATAAATTGCTTCTGTTGCATATTATTTTGGGGATTATTTCTAGCCATAAATTTAAAATACGAAAATAATGAAATAATTCATTATTTGTAATAGCTATTATTTTAAATGAATTGATATCATTTTTATTCTCGAATAACTATTGAAACTAACGCTCCGAAATAAATAATCTGGAATATTATACGTGTCAGAGCAAGACAATATAACAAAATCTTGTGTATACATATATAAATAAATGTAACAAATTTCAAGGTTTATGCCAAGTATTTAGGGTGCATAATAATCACAAAAATTGCTTCGAAACTGGTAAAAAAAGGGTACTCTATCAAAAAACAAGAAACAAACTGACACTGATTCGGTATTTTATTCGTTACAAAACTGGAATCATTCAACTTCAGAGATAAGTGACGCAAAAGATGCTACAATTTTATAGGGTCTTTCCATTGTTCACGGATTCTAATTACACCTTCTATGCTAAATTTATAAATTCGTTAATAAAGGGTGTCCGTGCATTCAACAATCATTGCACACCCTCGATTACGCCATTGAATCGGGCGCAGCTGGAGCGCTCACGATCGCGTGTGCGCTTACCAATTTTGCGCACAACAAAGCAACCTGCTTTCTAAGCTTTCTTTAGTTCGTTCGTGGCAGTTAGATCTCTCACCTGTATGTATCCCTTCTGAGTGAGCAGAACCTTGTGCATAGGCGTTTCGCGTTGTTTGTGGGTATCCTGGTCGGTCTGAGTCGTGATTCCCCGACAGGGGAATATCGCTAAACCGGCGAGAATCAAACTTACAGGGACGAAGCCATTGCCTCGATGGATAATTGTCGCTTTCCCCATCTCGATTCGTTCATCCCTTCCTTCTACTTTCCCTTGGCTTCACACTTTCTTCGCTCTTCGTCCTGCTTTGTTCTCAGCTTCCTACAATCGCGAAAGGTGTCTGCTTACTCTGAAATGTGATCCTATTCGTAAGTAGGTTAACATTGGCATTGTGAAATACGCTTTATTCGCTGCAAATGTATAAAACACAATGGTTAAAACAATAATCGCTAAAAGGGTGAAGGGCTCATCAACCGAACAGCGATTTCTTAGTATTAACGTCTTGAGGGATATTGATGCATATGTATACGTTTATTTTTATATCAAAATCACTGTTGTTTATGATCGCAATACCTTTTAGAATTAAAAGATATTAAATATTAAAGTGGGATATTTGTATGTCAAGATCGATTGATGGATGAAGATTGCTTTGATTTGTATGTATTCGATTAAAGATAAACAAAATCCATTTAAAATTCGTCCCTCAAGAGGGTAAACTTTATGAAGTGAACTTTATTTTGAATAGTGTAAGACTATCAACACTAAAACTTCAAAGTTCAATCTATACCTATTCTATATATAACTATATCATTGTAATTAGAAAGAAGAGGAGCAATTTATTTTTCAATCAAATTAATTCTCTACTAAAATAATTGTCCTCAAATATTACAATAAAAGAATTGTTAATGATTGAGTAACTTTAAAATAAAATTTGAAATACTTCGATCAAACTGGCAGACTTCAACGTTTTTTTTGTTTTTTTTTTGTTTTAATGTTAAAAGTAACAAATCCATTTTTCGATCATTAGATTGCGGATTTTTAAGCGTTTATGGCAAATGAAAACATGAGTAAATCAATGATAACGTGTGCAAATACAAAAATATATAAAATAAAAACAATAATACACATGATCTACTGTTTAGATAAAAAACACGCTTTCATTTAATTTTTTTTTCTCGACTTAATTGTCTGTCATTAACTTTCAGTGAACGAATCACTTTTATCGGAACCCTAACTTACTCACCAATTGAATCGTATATCTTCCTCGATATCGCGTTCGGACGCCCTTTGCCTCTCATCGGTTGTCCACGGACAAGCGTGCCATTAATCTCCTTCGATTTTTAATTGACAGTCATCGTACTGTCGGATCGAAACGAATTCTCCAAAGAGAAACGGTGCCAGTGCGGCGAACTGTCCGCGCGAGTAAACAACACTAACCAAGTCCGGTGCCGGCTTGAGTCGAGTTCCGTCCCGTTGGGAACGAGCACAGTTGGATTGCCAATGGAAGGGTTGAGTATTAAAAGAAGGAGGAGGAGGAGGAGGAGGAGGAGGACCTTGTCTCGGATGCCACTTGACGAACCGTGCGGTCGTTTAACTCGAACCTGAAATTCCCTCCGTTTCCACGTTCCAGCACGCCAAGTTTCCGGATACTTCGATTCAACGGAACACCCGCAATTATGATTTATGCGTCACGCACTGCGAGTCTGGAATCGATGTCCACTTAAGACTGTCAGACGACCGACTCGGGGGACTCGGTTCTTAATAATTTATTCATTCGAGCCATGAATGGTCTGCGAACTGGAATCTTGATTATCGCAGCCTTAATTATCGCACAAGGGTGCATGATGTCTATAAGTGAGAAGGGATGGGCACTCGGAGTCGAGTTGTATAGAGGACGCTACTCATGGACTATGAGTAGTGGGAACACATTTTTAGACGGTGTGTATTTTAATTAATTAAATTAACCCTTTACGAGAGATCTCACCCGTCCCATTATTTTTGAACTCCTGTAAAATAACACTTAACAATCAATTGGGGATTTATGTTAGTGGCGTTCTCTTAAATGACATTAGATCTAATCGTTTACACCATTAGGAGTCGAAATAAACAGTCAAGTATTGCTGAGGAAACCAACGTAATAACACATGTTTGTCAATTTTCGAACTTGCTAAATAGCGCTCGACGTTTCTTGAAAGCAACATATAAGTAAGACCATTTTACTGTTAATGTGACAAGACCTTTATAAATGTGGTCTGGAAGTAAAAGATTGTGCTTTACTAACAATAAGTCCATTTCATCTAAATTAAAATAATATTTTTATGAATATTGGCCAAAAATTGTACTCTTAAAAGATTTTTTTGTACGCATTATGAATCGAGTTTCTAGCACTGTTTTCGGAAAATTCCAACGGTAGAATGTTGGATAACTTCATCGAGACAATATTTTTTAGTCAAGAATTAAGAAAAGAACATGTTAAATTGATGATTCCACTCATAAAAATAAACCCAAATGGGATTTTAAAAATTTAAAATTAACGTTTCCAGTCTTAGGCAAAGCCAAAGGATCTTTATTGATAAGAAATATTTATATACTCTTTGATATAATGTAATACACTTTCATACAATTTGAAGTAAAATCTTAGAAAGCCTACGTAAACAAGCAAAACCTTATATCAAGAAATTTTATCTACACATATCTACGTATAAACATAAATTGTGTATTTCTAAGTATAAGGAATTTCTTTTCATTAACTCATATGCCATTTTATAGTTTTTGTTTCTTTCCGCGTTTCGTACGCAAGCCAAATTAAACGAATTTTTAGTAAATTTATGAGAATCATTTGATGTAATAAAAAAAAAGTATGAATTTTTTATCCATGTATTATACATGTGTTCATAGAATCGAGACGGAAAAAGAAAATACTGTAATGAATACCTGCCATATCTGCATTAGTCAAAGTGCATGCTGTTTAAGAGTGAGGAATTTATAAACAGGGAAAATACATAATTAATAAAGTATGAGGAAAAGCCTGGAAAGATATGTAGACATGGTAGAATTACTATCGTTCGTGCCGTTTGTAGGCGACGATTATTTCAAAGACTTTCAGTAATGGTGATGAAAAATAAAAAGAAAAGACAACATTTAGTAGATGGATTTTACATGTTAAAACAAAGAAATTGTCGAAACACGCTATAATCAAATTCTCTGCTACTTGAATTACTTTAATTGAGAGATAAGCACTTAATTTCCACCTTCTTGAACGTTATTGTGGACTGTTATTATCTCTTAACACAATAGTGTTCCGCCTCGTTATGTACTAGCGGCGCGGAAGCAACTAAGCTTCGTAAATTTCTAAATCGATGAAGATATGGAGCATGGTAATTAATTTCGTAAATTGACCAGCAAAGACTTAACACCAGTAAGCTAATTTAAAAAAGAGTATTTTCCTTTGTTTAGTAATTTCTTATTATGGAATTTAGATAAGTTGTTTCGTTCATTTTGTATCATGGTATGTGTACAATATATGTGGTTATTCTTGTTACATACTTCGACATATCCAGATGAAATATCTTTTCTTTTTTTCCGTAACTCCTTATTAAACGATACGTTGTAAAAATTGCCAAAGTTATAACTAGACTGCGAATCTTTATGAAAAATAAAATCTTTGCGAATGTCCCTACAAAAATTGAACCTAAATGAGAATTTATTTTATTCTGCAAATATTATAACATGAACTTTACTTTCAATATTTTTTATATTCTTACATATTGTTTGCATTTTGTAGTTCCTTGCACATTCAAATTTTCTATAAATGCATAAAGATCTGCAGTATATGTAGTTATAACCATTTATATCACAGCCATTAGGTTGACACATGAAATTTTAAATAGTTACTCTGTTCTTTTAGGGTAAGAAATAGATTTCTGTTTATATTCCTGTTGCTTAAGGTTATTATACAATCTAGATAAGTCACGTGACACGTCATGTATTTATAATATATATGGTTATCTTTATTACATACTTTGATTAATCTAGATAAAAAATATATTCCTATGTTCGGTAGCTCCTTATTACACGATTTAGATGTGTTGTCAGAAACGTTTTGCACGCTTTGTACTACACGTCATTAACGTCACATGTTTGTGATTTATATGGGACAATTTCCACCACGATTAGCGAAGCACATTCTTCTCGCATTATAAAAACGCTTTGTTTCTTAATTTTCGTCGGCATGCGTTGGAGTATGTAATTAGAATTCAACCGTTTTCTTATCTTGACGACGCATCCTCGGTAGGAATAAAATTGTTCGATCGTTGAAGAGAGCGAAAGCGCTATCATGATCGCGATCAATGTAAATTGTGTAATTGAGACACGGGTGTTACATAATACGTAGCGCTTCAAAACACTAGCGCTATGCAAGGTGCCGAAAAGAACGATTCCATCGGCGCGAAATAGGAAAAACGACTGTCATTAACAACGAGAATCCACTTTCGAAACGCCTGGAGCCTTGTAATCTAACCGAGCAGGGCGATAAAACAATTAACAGGGACCAATGTGACATAATACTTTCCGACACATTAGTTGCATAATTATTTAATTAAGAGAAAATAATTACCTAAACGAACAGTACTTTCATATACAGTACTGTGCAAAAATCTTAGGTCACTTATAGTACATTACGTCTTTTACATTTTCACCGCTAGAGCTCTACGGCAAATGATTCAGCTTCTATACTTTATTTTACCGATATTATTGTACAGTGTACTGTTCGGAATTAGATGAAAATATTATAAATTTAAAGGAGAATTTAATATTTACTACTTCTTTTACCCTTGTGACAGCGTCGACCATTCTTGATTGTTATCTTAATTTACCTTATACAGTTCATGTATATTTTTTGGCTCCCGTTTTTTCTTGCTCTGTCTAAATAATCGCAGACATGTTCAGTAATATTTAAATCGAGACTCCTCTAAATCTTTTAAATAATTTGTTACAATACTATTATATGTATGTATAGTATATTAGTATATATAAAAACACAATAATAAATATACATCATCTTTATTTCGTTAACATAGATTTATTTATGTGTAATTTCACAAGACTTTCGCACAGTACTGTAGATCAGGTTTCATATGCCTTATAACTGTTTAGTTTTTTTTTCTTCCTTCCCAAATATTCACTTTAAACTAAACATTTTTAATTTTTGCGCAGAATGCAATTTATGAAAGTTGAATAGAGCCACTAATTGCATGACCGAAACGTCGCGTTGAATTTATAATTGATGGTAACATTCTGTTGCTTTCGTTATAAAAAAAAAAAATTGCAGGTTTTTATTAAGCAGTTATGTAGAATGCAAAAAATTAATAATTAATTTCATTCTATATAAAGATATAATTTCATATGTGAATGGAAAAAGCACGGATGAAGTAAATAAAGGGGAACAAGAAAATTTATGGAAGTTAATCTATATACCCATTTTTATAAAAATATACGAAATGGTTATAATTTGTACTGAAAATCAATTATAGTAACAAATATATACACATGTAAGAACACACATATATTGTACACACATTTGAAAAAAATACGTCTCTTTAGGTCCAAATATGACCATAGCATCTTAACGCAATACTTTCTTCCCCCATAGGTCAGAAACTAAGAAAAAAAAACAAAGTTTGCGAAAGCAGATATTACGAGAGATGCGCAATTACTTTATGTTATTTCGTATTCTTGCGGACGAGCCTTGCATACAAGCGAGACCATCTGGTTTATGAATCGTAAAATCTCCGTTAAATCTGTAGACTCGGTTTACCAGGGACTGGTTGTCCACAAAAATTCGACGAGACGTGAAGATAAAATAGAAACACGAGGCTCCGATCTATATCGTGTTGATTGCCATGCAGACTCCGACTTGCTCATTGCTTTCTCGCTCATTTGGATTCATGCAAACGCATTTCTATTTAATTGCTTCAATTATAGATAAGGCTTACCTGTAGCGCAACATAGTTATTATAGAATAACTGTAAATACGTATTGCTTTAAATAATTAGAGCAAACATTTTTATCTTCGACATACTGCACGTTCCGTTGTAATTGAGTAAAATTTACCATAACTGGACAAGCTCGGGACTGACCTTGTGCAGTTATCGTAGAGTTCGTATGTTTTCTGATGTTTGTCGACGAGCTTCGAACATGGAAAAAGACAACGAATAAAGAAGACGACGGAGCGAAAACACCAGGGTATGTCGGTGAGACAATTTAACGCAACGATAAAACTTGTTTATTATTAACTTTTTTCTTGTAAAACTTTTACCATCATATCCATGGCATTTTTCTAATTAAAATGAGATCGAACACGATATAATTTGGATGATATTTGCCATGCATCTTTTTTTAGTTACTGTTCTACGATATATGATGCATAGTAAGTTGTTACAAGTAAATATATTGAGAATTATGTCGCGTTTGGTCTCATTTTAATTAAAAAATGCCAAGAATATGATGG